TGACTAAACCTTGTCGAAACGTTGTACATTTGCTGTTATGTTAAACTTATATTAAAGTTTTTCTTCATTACCCATTCAAGCCGTCTCCAGCCATTATTAGTCTCAAAGTGGGTTCCTCGTCGCCAAATTTGTATTAGGCCTATACATCACAGATTCTATGTTCAGTTTTACCTTTGTTGTATTGTAAAATAGCAAGATGCATTTTGAATAATTGTTTTATTATTGCTCATATGGTATTTAACAGTTGAGTGTTAAACTTTTATTTACAACAGGATTGCTGTCATCATGCGACCTTACTTTTTTCGAAGAAAATTTCTTTCTCAGAAGCCCAAACTACCCTGATAATTATCCTACCTTCACGGTATGTCATTATGAAGTCAGGCGAGTGGACAACGACATCTGTGGACTAGAGATGAAATTTTTAAAATTTGATATTGAACCAAGTGACAGTTGCGTTTACGACTACTTGAAAGTGGACGAAAAAAAACTATGTGGCGTGATTACTTCAGAGGCAGTTAGTAAGTAGAACTAATTATCCGATCATTCTTTACTGCTCGTAAAATGAAAATACCGAATTGGCCCGATTATAAGGTGATATTTTTTATTAATAATTACGCTGTAAAATTCATAGTCGCCTTATAATCGCGGCCGACTACAGGCCCACTCCCCGAAGCTAACCTGTCACATTCCTGAATGTCCAGATAGTACCAGTCTACGCATGGGCGCCAGATGCTTGCTCAAGGTCATCGCTAATTCTTGCAACTAACCCACCTGCAGGTTGTTCAGTTACAGTATTGATTTTGCGGGCCTAAAAATGGTATTATGACACTAAATTTTTCTTTCCCAAGGTTTCTGAAAATGGAGTCGCCTTATATTTGAGATCGCCCTATAATCGGACCAATACTGTACATTAAATAAAACAGTATTTTTTTACTATAACCCATATCTGGGATATGTGATACAGTACGATAAATAAGCAGCATATACACTGAGTGGTCACAAGTAAATAGACACCTAATTTTTCGTCATTTAACTGATTTATGCTAACTAATTTGTGTTCACAGAGCACTATATAAATGAAAATGGTCTGCACACTACTTATCTTGTGCTACACCATGTCTAGGACTCAAGGTTCTCTCGAATTGTCTGATTTTGTTAGAG